TGCACAGCACAGGGATGTGATGCTGAGGGATGGGCAGAGGGCTGTGATGCTGAGGGATGGGCACAGGGATGTGTTCCTGAGGTACGAGGGATGTGATGTGATGCTGAGGTTTGGTGCAATGGACACTCTGCTCTAGGGATGGCTTCAAAGAATTTTTTGGTCAGCTGCATAAGAACAACATCCCCCTGTTCATCTTCTCTGCTGGTGTTGGTGACATCCTCGAAGAGATTATCCGTCAGGCCAACGTCTTCTTCTCCAACGTCAACGTGGTGTCCAACTACATGGACTTCGATGATGACGTGAGTTTCTGCACCACATCTGTGTGGTGAGTGTGTGAGGGGAGAGCTGTGGGGCTGGGACACGTGTACCAGCAGCACCACCCAGTTAAGAGCTGTCTGTCTGTCTGTCTGTCCTGCATGCTCAGGGAGTCCTCACACACTTCAAGGCACCTCTCATCCACACCTACAACAAGAACAACAGTGTGCTGCAGGGCACGGAGTACTTCCAGCAGCTGAGCACGAGGACGAGCATCATCCTGCTGGGGGACTCCATGGGTGACCTGACGATGGCAGATGGTGTTCCCAGCGTGGAGAACATCCTCAAGATTGGCTTTCTCAATGACAAGGTGGGTGTGAGGAGCAGTGTTATGCTGCCCTGCCAGCCTAGGGGCAGCAGGGAGAGGCAGGGTGTGCCCCAGTGATTTGGGGGTGTGAGAGATTAGCATGAGCTCCTGTGGAGTGTGTGGAGGGATCTGGGGGTGTGCAGAGCTCCTGCTGTGTCTGGGGCACTGCCAGGGTGCTTATTGACCCCATTTTTGGAGTGAGGGCTGTGAGTTCAGCATCTTCACCCTCTGCTGGTGCTCATGGTCCTCCCTCTCCTCCCCACCCTGTCCTGGGGCTGTGCTGCAGGTGGAGGAGCGGAGGGGGAAGTACCTGGATTCCTATGACATTGTGCTGGAGAGTGATGAGACGCTGGACGTGGTCAACGGGATCCTGCGGTACATCCTCACTGAGACATGAGCTGGGGACACGTCCCAGCTGCAGTCCCACAGCAGGCACCAGGCAGGGAATGTCCTTCCTGTGCCAGAGCTGGGAGGATCTGCTGGTACTCACTAACCCCTCAGCTAGCCCTGGAGCAGGAGAGGTGAGATGGAAGAAGCTTCTTCATTCACTTTACCTCAACTCTGCCTGACTCTACTGCTTCCCACTCGAACTGACTTCATCCCACTCGGACTTCATCTCACTGGGGCTTCATCCTGTGCTCAGACTGACTTGGACTTCATCCCCATCACCTGCTGAGACCATGACAAACCATTCC